AAGGAAGGAAGGAAGGAAGGAAGGAAGGAAGGAAGGAAGGAAGGAAGGATAGATTAAGGGTGATTGTGGTTGTCAGGGAAGTTCTGTTCTCTTGGGCAGCTATGGCCAAAATAGTCATGGAAGCGGGGGAGATACCAGTCCTACAGCAGGCCAATCTGAGTATGCTCTGACACTGACCTCACTCGCTGCTTCTTATGAACCAGAATGTTTTCATAGGAGATTGTGTTATGTTTTTTAATGGAAAATAAACACCACTTTCCAGCTTCAGAAAAGAGGCTCTATTGTGAAGACAGTAAATTATCTCAGAACTGGGACAAAGAAGATGGATGAAGACTGGGGCTAAGAATTTATATCCAATTTATTTACCAAATTTCAATTGAGGCAAGATTTGAACTGATGATTTTTCCAACATTATGCCAGTGGTTACATCATTAAAGAAATCTGTGATATCATAGATTGGACATTTGAGCATGATAAAAACTTTGTATGAAATAATCCCCTGGGTGAAAAATACTGATGTTGAAAATTTCAAATCACATTTGAATGGACAGAACTGTTTACAGGGATGCACACTGAACCCATTTTCTGAATATTCACATTTTAAGATAACCATGTGGTACAAATGGCAACAGCAAATAAATTGGTTGCCAAAAGAAAGAACAGAGATGATTACATTACCTTTTGTTGCCTGGTTGCTGATGGGGGGTGGATTTGATGCTGGCCGCTTGGTTGGATGAAGAGGTACAGTGGAAGCTTCACCATATGGTCGGTCGGAGCTGAGATCGCTGTCACTTAATCTACACTCCCCATCAATTAAGTTGCAGTCCCGCATACATTGGCTATGCTGAAAGTTTATTCCGTTATTTTGCACAGGATTCCGGTTTTCTTGAATTCTATAACAGGTTTCAGATGCAACTTCTTTCTTAACATGTTTCTGAGTTTTACCTGTCTCCTATAGATGGAGAAAAGCATTTAAATCCATAATGCTTTTAATAAAATGTTGCAAGTATATTTGTAGATTTCAGTGAACAGCACCATTTATTATAAGACACTTAACTTGATTGCTTGTAACTGGATTTATCTATACTCAAAGTTATATGCTAGAAGGGTTATACAAACTAAATAAAATTATTTATTATATAAAGTGGTGCAAAAGACATGAAATTAGGAATACTAAATTCATTACATATTTCAACAAATATTAAAATAAAACTATAACATCTAGTTCCATATATTTTGACATACTGAATGTTATTACAGTACATTTTCAGAGGTTTGCAAGCTACAATCAGAACTAATTGTTTATAACTATCTGAACTTATTTGTTATTTCATTACTTGATATTAACACAACAGATCTCTAAAAATAGTTAAATCTCCTACTTCATACCTACATTTGCATCTACAGTTTAGTATTGTATACAACAACATAATACTGAGCCCTGTGCCCTATTACAATCCCATTGAGTGTTTTACAGCTATAAAAATGCAGAAACACCTCAATCTTTTAATTAATGTAGCAAGATTTACAATGTGTACATTCATATTAAACAGAAATGGATAATCTTGTTTTTTACAATCATACTCAGACTCAGCTTTGCCAATCTCAGTGGATTATGAGATTTTTAAACCAAAGCATCTATATATCAGAACCTTGGCTGGTGTAGAGAGTCACATATTTTATCAGGGAAGAACTAGAGTTATAATTAGTGAATACACAAAATGTGGCATAAACTTATTTTAAAAAGTCAAATCTGTATTTTAAAAAGTCAATATACTCACCTGAGGGCTGATTTTAGAAACTGAATGTAATGATGTAAGAAATACTGAAGCTCCCATTTCTTTTTCATTTTGTATGTGCTTGCCTGCATGGAAATGTAAAATGTTACTTAAAACATTTCAAGAATTCTGATTTTAAAAAAGAGAAGAATTCTTTCCCATTTTCCCTGCAGTGATAACAATTGTTATGATTCATAGTGTTTTGTTTACTCTATTTTTTATCCACAGTTCACATACAAGTACTCCTCAACTTACAATAGTTCATTTAGTAACTCTTCAAAGTTACAATGGCACTGAAAAAAGTGACATGACCATTTTTACACTCACGACCTTTGTAGCAGCTCCATGATCAGGTGATCAAAATTCAGATGATTGGGAACAGACCTATAGATATTACCGTTGCTATATTCCAAAGTTGTGTGGTCACCTTTGGCAATCTTTTGACAAGCAAAATCAATGAGGAACCCAGATTCACTTAACAACTGTGTTACTAACTTATCAACTGTGGTGATTAAGAACTGTGGCAAGAAAGCTCCCAAAATGGGGCAAAACTCATTTCTTAAGTTAATCACCACAGTTAATAAGTTAGTAACACAGTTGTTAAGTTAATGAATGTCTCAACAGAAATTGTGGGCCCAATTGTGGTCCTAAGTCAAGGACTACCTGTACTGTAATACAGTAATGCTTAAACATTAAGAAATCCTTTGAATTGTCACTATTTCTGCATAAATATGACCTATAACATGAACTGTTCTTTACGTAAGTTCTAAAACTAAATAAAGAGAAAATATAGAACTAGTGCTTAGAATATAACAATGATCTGATTTTATGAACTATCCTGTGGCAAATACACCAGTCTTTTCTGATCAGCAGGCTAGGACTCCCCAAGTCAAATGTTATATGTGAACCATACTTGGACATTTAGAAGCCAAAATGATGTCTGCTGTCATTTCAGGAAGTCCTTGGGATTTGATTTTGTTACATGTTCCTTGCACTGAGATAAAGCTATTCTACATCTAGATGCTAAATCTGACCCTAGTTCAAGATGCCTAGACACATTGAAAGGTTTCACAGTTCCTCAAAGCTCATCTCAAGTCTTCTGAGCCAAAAGGGAATGATTCCTACCACTTGCGCATTGAGCTTGCATACTTGGCGCATTCCTAATGCTAAAATTGGAATTGGCAGGAATACATGCAGGAACTTTTTTGTTCTCCATCAATGCAAAATGGAACGCTCAAACTTCCTATGGTTCCCCACAAAACTTCAGGCAGATTAATTTAGCCAATTTGCTGAAAGATTGCATCCTACATATATTCAACCAACAGGCAAGGTAGATATTTCTTGAACCAGAGGAATAAGTGATATATGTCTTTTTGCAGTCCCTTTGACCTTTGTCCTCTCTTTATTATTCATCATCATGGCATGCCCTGTGCTAAGCACACTGGGCTATAAGCATACTGCACGGTTCATGGTCCTTATATTATTATTCATATAAGTGTTTAATTTGTGCAGATCATAATATGATGCCATTCAATCAGAGGAAAGCTTTTAATATAAGGTGAATTGGCCTCATCTCCAACAGACTAATTGAAAGAATTTATTCCTCTAGAGACCAAGCCCTTGAATTTAATTATTCTGAAAAGGAGTTCCCCAGTCCAACATATTTGTATCCATGGCAATACAGACCTTACAAGACTCTCTCAAGGGCATTCACCAATACAAGTTGGCTGCCACCACCCCTACTGCAAGGAATTAAATATGACATCAATGCACTCCTTTCTTTTAATGAAAGAAGAAATCAGGGTATTGTCCTTGCATGCAATCATACCAAATCCTGAACTACAGTCATCATATGCTGCATCTTTATCTGGGTTGTAAATGAAGGCTGCATATTAACACTTCCTGAATCACAATCTGGATCTTTAGTCTGCACTCTTGAGATAAGAAAGCCTTTTTCCACTAAGTGCCTATTATGATTCTCAGAGAACTTTTCTCCCTACTTGCCACAAATGCATAGTTACAAATAGGGGTGGGTTCTAGCAGGCACTACTGCACATACATGCACAGTGCAATTAAAATTGTTCTACGCATGCGCAGAACTCAAAAACAAGATGGTGGCGCCTATGGCACCACCCGGAAAACCTGTTCAGGGGCAGGTTCCCAGGCCACCAAACCACTACCAGTTTGGCCTAACCAGTCCAAACCGGTAGGAACCCACCACTGGTCACAAACACAAACACTGAAAAGTCTGATTGCTTCTACCACCGGAAAGGTTTTGTCTGTCTGTCTGTGTACTTCCTGAGTTCTTAAATACTGTACTCAACCAAAGATGATGTCTGTGAAGACTCTTTAAGAGTCAAGGAATGGCTGAATGGAAGAATTCTGAATTAAAAATTCTCCTTCCTGTAAATAAAACTGAAACATTTGCAGAGTATATGATGGTTTGATTTGGACAGACCTATTGATGCTAGGAAATTGTTTAGAAGGATCCTTTTTGCCATAGAAACCAGGTTCTATTCTGAATAATCAATGACTGATGAATTTTCCTCCTGGCCACAGTTGCCACCTGCTTTTTCAACAGAAGCTGTGACTTGTGACTCCAAAAGCACCCTCAAGTTGCGCAGAAGACTCAAATGAGGAAATGCAACCTTCACTGAAGACTAGCAGAAAAATAAGCAAGAACCTCAAGGCCAAAATAAAAAATACCATTTGGTCTTGTGAGGATAGGGTCCATATCTGTTCTGCCTCCTCTAAAGTCATAGATCTTCCAAATACTGAGTTAGGACTTTAATGGCATCACTCGGTTGGCCTAAGGCAGGGGTCACCAAACTTGGTCACTTTGAGACTTGTGGACTTCAACTCCCAGAATTCCACGAGTCTTAAAGTGGCTAAGTTTGGAGACCCCTGGCCTAAGGTAAAGCTACACAACAGGATATTAATGATATCCTGTTAATGATACTGTTGAAAACCAAAATTGGAATAGGTAAATGACCCCAAATTAGACAATATTATTGGCTTTCAGAAGGTGCTGAATTGTTTCCTTTTCACTTAGAAGTACTGGAGCCTGGTCAAAAGACACAGACTTAGAATGAACAATGTTGAACTCAAGGTTTGAGAACCAGGATGGAATTCTTCTACATATAAATCCACAACTAATTACCTCAAACGTTTGTAGCTAGACTAGAGAAATCTCATTTTGTAAATGGAAACTGTTTTGTTTCTGTTATTTTTAAACAAATGGGAGTTACAAAAACCTTACTGATCCATTAAAATCACCAGGGTTACAATTTGTCTTCAAGCCACCCTGAAATATTCAGCAACAAGGCAACTTACCATATTCTGGTTTATAACTCTGAGAAGACATTTTATCTTTATGCCTATTTTTGGAATAGCTTCTGTGATCTGGAACAAAGCTTCTTCGGTCAGTGCTATCTGTGGTCTGAGCATGACTTGGTAAACAAGTGGTATAGTGCAATCCTGCCATTGACAGCATGCCCTGAATAGCTTCTTCCTCCATACTTGTCGAGGTAGGACATTCCCTAAAAATGGAAAAAGCAGAAGTACAGCTATATACGTATGCGTTTGTGTGTGTTCCTGTTCAATGTCATTTTGTTCAAATTATCTCTGATAATTTCTGTACTATATATCTCCTATACAATTACTCACATTTTATTTGCATTTTCATTTCTAGATGGCTTCTCTGTGATTTGAAACAGGTCCTGTGTTACTTGATTTTCCTCTTTAAAATTTGAAGTTACTTCGTGTTTTTCATCATCTCCTGAGCTTTCTGATTCCTCTAGGGAGGAGTCCTTTCGCTGGAGGAAGAGAAAATTATTTAGGCATTCCACTGATTTAATATAATCAGTGATTTAAACTGTAGTTGAGTCATCAGAAAGATAAGTAATAGAGGTGGGTTTTTTTCCTTTCAAATAACACTGTAGTGAATGTGAATAGATTGCTGAAATGCCTTAGTGCGAAGTCCTAGCTTTAACACTGTTATTTAGAACAACCCATTCAAGAGTATTCTGCAATTTAAGAATCTTCTTGAACTAATTATTCTTGATCAAATAGGTGACAGCTGTAGCCTAGAGGCTCTTTTCCCAGCTTCATTTGGTATACCAGTTCTGCTTTCTTGGATCAGAAGACCCTTAGGACAATTGTGGCTTGATTACTGCAATACACTCTATGTGAAGCTGCCCTTGAAATTAACTCAAAAGTTCCAATAGGTCCAGATTCAATAGCATGAACAGGCATGACTCTTGTGACACATATTTTTAGATTGCACTGGTTGCTGCCTCTACGAGTCAAGGTAGGATCACAGGTACCAATCCTACATATAGGACATATAAAGCCCTACATGGCACAGGGTCAGGTTATTTGTGGGACCACCTATTTTCTATAGTTTTTGCCTTGCCAGTTGGTGCTGATAGGCTAAACATGCTCCAGACCTGTTCAGTTAATTAGTGCTGTTTATCAGGATCCAAGAAGCATGCCTTCTGTCACAGCATTTATCCTCTGCAATGAGATCTCTGAAATCCATATGGCTTTCACTTCATTAGTATTTCATATGGTCTTGAAAAACTCCTCCCAAGTCTTGAGTTAAGATGGCTGGATTCCTTTGTTAGATGTATTTTTGCCTATGTTTTTGCAGTAAGAGACTGAATAGCATTTTATTTTATATTTTTATTGCTTGATATATTGTAAGATATTTAGTCAATTTGGAGTTGGGAAACCCTAAATTTAAATAAATGAATATAAAGGTCAAGTATGATAGAAAATAAAATAAAAATATCCCCATATACATGAGTAATCCATACTGAATAACAATTGGGGGTGGAACAACTTGCATTTGGTGTGAATGGACTTAATTAAAGAGAGTATCCACCCACTACAGACCCTCAATTGTTATTCAATATGGATTAGTCATATTTTAAATCATGGTCATATGTTATGATCAGCCAAGAATCAAGAACATTGAACAGGAAGGCAACTATTTACAGTAAAAAGAAAAAAGCAGGAGCTTAGGCTCAGGGGAAAAAAACAAGGATTATTTTGTAAAACTCCTAATATTGCATATATTGTATTCAGTCTAACTCACTCTTCTTTTAGCTAATCTTCATTTTTTTAGTCAAACACAGAAGTCGTCTTCACTATTTTTTCCGTACTTCATTTGAAACTAAATATTCTTTACCTGGTTAGTGCAATCAGGTTCAGATTCTTCTGAATCAGAAATATCAGAATACTCTGAGCTGCCATTCCTGAGTTCTGATTTCACACTTTCAAAAAACACTGGAAACAAAAAGAGGGACATTAGATTTTTCATACATATACATTATCTTTTATTTTCTTTTTCTGCCAATCTGTTCATCCCACAACAGTTCATTGCTTAGAAGCGAATAAAATTTGGTATCAGAGCACTAATAAACTGCAGTGCTTAAAATTCTTTTCTAATTTTCTCTCTTGCCCCATTCCCATAAATTCAAACTCACATCCATTTCCCTACATGTGAATGAATTCACACATCCATATGAGATAGTATTTAGAAACACCATCTCTGCCTAGATTTAGGTAGAATGTAAAAATCTTAACTTTTGCTTATGTCCTAATGGATTTTAAACTCTACAGATTTTTGGTTTTCACTGGTAGTACCCATTTTAGAACTAAAATGATGAGAATATTAAAATGTTTTGAAATCATAAATAATCTAAATATAAAAATTCAAAATAGATCCTTTAAAACCTTTGCAGCATTTAATATTGTATATTTCTAATAATTATATGGACACAGTCTTGCTCAGCATATGTAAAAAAAAGTATGTCAGATATAACAAAATCAATGTTTCTCTATTTAGTATATGAAATAATTAACGTTCCCCTGTTTAATATGCAAAAAAAGTACTAAAATTTTATCCCTCCTTCTTTTGTGGCATTGTCAATGGCAGTGAAGCTAGCCTGATTATAAAATCACACCCATTAATAATGTATATAGCAACTGGATATATAAAAATAAAGGAAGAAAAAGTATGAATTACTAATTCAAGAAAAAAAAGACATACTGTTCAGTGGTTTCTGTGAATCCGCATGGCCATCTGCCTCCTGGGACTTCGGCTCTTCTGTCTTAATAGTTCTTTTCTTCTCATCCTCATCTTCACTGTCTGCTGTGTATAGACTTGGATCTCTGAAGGGTTTGCGTTCATCTCTGTCACAAAATAATTGGTTATAAAAGATATCCATTGGAGTTTTCCCTTTATTATTTTCTCATCTTTTAAAAGAGTGATATCTAATGTTCATTATACATACTAAAAACTCTAAATTAAAAATCAGTTTAAATATTTTTCTCCTTTATAAAGTCATACTGTGTTTTTACTGATGAATTTCTGAAGAGAATGCAGAATTGTTAGGGTTTTTTTCCCTTTGATAAAAGGTTGGTTTAAGTCCTTTTAAACCACTTTAAAGCACTACCCTATCAGTAGCATTAGTATTCACACTTGATATACTGAGTAGCTACCAGTCTCTTTACTTATCTCTTCTTTGAACCAATATTTTTTTTTGAACACAGCAGTCCATATAGCAAAAACTAGCTGGATTTAGCTTCCCTTTTATAACCAAATCTGCACAGTATTTCCTAGCGTGTTATTGATTCCATGCCAAAGTTCATTAAAAGAGAATCAGGATCCCCCACAAACCTGAATATGGCCTTACAAGTTAACAGCACATATCCTGTCCCAAATTCTTTCCTTTTAAAAAGTTACATATAACTATATCCAGTACTCTGCCTCAATCCATCAATTGAAAAGCGAACAGAATTAGCAAAATTCAACAAAACACAATTCATGTAACATTTGTTTGTTACCTAATTATTCTTCCATTTGACAGCAAAAGCCGTAAATCATTGTCTTTTGTTCTCCATTCTGGAACAGTGGAAGATGGTTGAAGTGGCTTGTTAAATCTTTCATTCAATTTATAATTTGCTGTGTCCTAAAGCAAGAAACAAAACAAGATTCCATTTTAAAAAGCTCTGTGTAATCCACATTAGTGGTGATGCAAAGTTTGTCTATAAGCAAAAGAAGAAATAATGCATTATTAATAATAACCATAACATAGGTTTATATGTACAAATGATCATGCCCAAATAGGAAATTATTAAATTCTGTACTTCATAATATCTGATCCTACTTCTATTCTCTGGATTAATGAGGCTTAGCACAAATAATTATACATATTGCATCAACATGTCAAGAAGGATATTGAATAGGTTGAGATAAGACTAATATGCTCAAGTGGAGGTTGCTGGCAGATGGCGTATTGCTGTGCAAATGTGGAGAAACGCAGAGTCCAACCCATTTGTTGATCTGTCGAATGAATGCACCAAAAGTGATTTGTTTCTGGCCAACCATAAAGCTAAAAAGGCACCCTCATTTTGGCACTTTACTTTGATATGGACACGAAATAAAAAATAAAACATGTCAAGAAAGTAGCCAACACAAGTACAGCTGGAATTGATGACCTCTAGCATTATTGCAAAACTTGATCTAGATATCAGAGTCTTTCATTATTTTCTTGGCATCCAAACGGTAAGCAATATAAAACAGCAATGGTATACTGTGGTATCAGATTGGCAGAGATGGGGCTGGAAACTTATAACATAATCTTTAACACTAAACTCTTATATTTCTTTTAATCCACATTTGCTACATTATTTGGTCTGATGTATTATGTAAGCACACAATTTTTAAACAGCAATAAATTACAATCATAATATTTTGTACCCAGCCTTTTTGTATTTTATTTCATTCTAACTTGTAATACTTGCCTCTTCCCATGGGCACATTTCTAATCTCTTCAGAACTTCCCTTGTGTGGAGCTCCAGAATGTCCAGATTAGAAGGTGTTTTGACAGACTGATCTCGTAGCTTCCTTGCTCTTCTTCTGGAATGATGAATGGAGGCCAATTCACTTGATGAGTGTGAAACTTGACACACACCAGTTCCCTGAGTTTTTGTTGGTTTGTTGTTATCTTCCTTTAAGTAAAATAAAGCCATTTAGAACAGATCATTTTTACAATTTCACATTCAGATAACGATGTACCAAGATAAGAAGGGAAAGATATTGGAAAGGGCTATTCCTTCCTTTTCTTTCACTGTAACAATGGACAATCATTCCAGCAACAGTGAGAGGAAGGGCAAGATACAATTGTGGAGCCCTTGAAAATCCAGAGGAAACTTTTATCTCATCCCAAATGCAGCCTCTGGATGCCAAAAGGATATCCCTACTTTAATGTGTCTTCTTGTAAAACAGCATTTTTGAGACTGTATGCAGTATGAAATAATAGAAAATTTAACAATCCAGCTCATTAAACTAATTTCCATTTGATTCAAACCATTATTCAATCCCACCCTAATTGTTTCCCTATAAAATGATGCAAATTACCACCATCACAATTAAATGTCTTTTATTCATACCTCTACAGATCGAATTACTTTAGAAAGTTGCTTAATTAGCTGTCCAGGCCTAATATTGTCTGGAATTTCAAAGGCATGTTCTGTTACAAGCTGTAAGCAAAATAAAAGAAAATCAGCTATATTCTAAATATAAATAAAAAATGCTACTGCATTATGAAAAGTAAAAATGCTACTGCATTTTTGAAAATAAAACTTACATCTTTTTTCATCCATAGCTTTAAAGCAGTAAGTAAAGCTTTCACTCCTTGTATTAAGAATGTTTGGGGCTGAAAACCATCTTCTTTAAGCTCTAGAAATGAGAATTTAAGATTAGGTTAATATTATTTCAGTAATGTTCCATCAAGCAGTATCTACTGTATCTCAGCCTTTGGTAAAATCTGACCAAAAGATTTAAAATTATTATGAAAATAAAATGAGACTTTTGCACCAATGCAGGTTAATCAAACATGGAGTAAAACCAGAAATGTACTGGTTTTACTTTCAAACTACAGAGGAAGGACAGAGTTCTTATTGCAAACAGATGAAGATTATTTAAATATGACGCATCAACGGTTATCTTAAAAACTGATTAGCAATTCCTTTTCTTATCAATTGCTTTAAATGGGATATTCTGGAACTGCATACCACAGAAGTTCGGTACCTTCTGTGAAATTTTCATACTATATATAGCCATTAAATGTTAATACCAGTTTCCATATAATGAGAAAGTGATGCACTGCTTGCATACACAGTGTTAAATGACTGTGTTGTTACAATTATACCTGCTATTTATTATTATAGCCTAAACAGAATTCCTGACTTGTTTTCTTACCAACACAGATTAAAAATAAACAATAACAAATCAGCACATTTTGCAAGAGCTAGCATTGGAAGAATTAGGCACTGAAAGATTCTTTAAAAACCTACATAATAGCTTAGTATTCTATATATAAATGTTCTAATTTGCCATTAATTCAAAACTGTCATAAGGAGAAAAGTTGATAACTGTTTTACTTTAATAACTCAAACAATAGTGAAGGGTTACTTGTGGCCCCTTAAAATGAAAAACCTATTAAACCATAACTGCATGTACAGTTCTATCTGCATCGCATACAATATGTAGTCCATATAAAAGCTTATGCAAATTGGTTAATATAGCATAAAATTCTGTTTTTTATGCAACAAATAAGTTAGCTCTCCAGAAATTACAGCAATGAGGAAATACAGATGTTCCATTTCATTAGTTAGATAACGCTACTGATGTGAATGAGCCCCTATTCTCAGTAGATTCCAGTTCTTTGGCACAGGGTGACAGAAAGGACATAGGACCAATTTGTTTCACCTGCAAATGAAAATGCTTCTCAATTTGGTTTTTAAATTGAACTTAAACTGGGCATGGCTGCCTGGTTCAGATTCATTGTTTAGAAATTTGCATGCTCACAAGAGTATCTCTTCCATATCATAGTACTAAACAATTTTGGGGTAGAAGTAAATTTGACACAAGACTTCCTATTATTCTTCCTTTTTTATGATCAATTTATTTTGTTTTTATCCACACTGCTGCTATCTTGATATTTACCCTGGTGAAACAAACCAGGTATCTGAAGTTTTCCTTACTTTGAATTTGAATTCAACTTGAATTTGTGATAAATACATTTACTATTTGAACTATATTATTATTGTTGTTGTTGATAATTGATAATGCCAGATAATTCTGAATGTACTGTTAACTATCAGAACCTTCCCAAGGATCTAGGTATGCTTTGTAGTGATCGTTTTCATTCAGATCTTATTTCCATAGGGCATCTTGATTCCTTACGTTTTCACTATTTTTTCCGTTTGACATTGTGCCTGCCACATTTTGTCCAGTTGAAATTCCACTGCAATATCTTGACTGTTTATTATGGACAGTGTTGAGCAGAAATGTTATTTCAGATGATGTTTTACCATACAGTTTCAGGTTGTTCATGTAACAGAGATGGATAACCTGGCAGATGTTTTTGATGTCTGATAGCCATGGCCTAAGTTATTCAGTATTGTTGGCAGAGTAATCAGTGTGATGACAAACAGTAGTGGTGATAGTGAGTCTCCTTGGAAGATTCCTCTCTTGATATTAACCTCTCCCAGTCATCGCTATTGACCAGGAACTCTGTTTTCTGTTGTGCTATCAATCCTTGTACAAATCTTCTGATGTTTCTACTGACTCCTTCAAGGCATTTGATTATCCAATCATATGGCAGGGAGTTGAATGCCTTCTTTAATCAATCTATGCTACATGCAAGTTGGTCTTTCTTCTCTTACAGTTTTCCAGATCATCTTGTCAATTAGAAATTGACTTTTTGCTCCTCTACTGTTTGGACAGTTTCAATTCTTCTACTTCTTTAATTAGAAAGCTCTGTTCTTTCTTAAGTAGAGGAGAGGGTACCTGGTTTGGAATGAAAACAATTAAATAGTTGTCCTGGCTTCCTCTACAGCCAATTCGTCCTGGTTTGCCTCTACAATCTAAGCTGCTCCTTAAAGGCTTTCTTTGTCCTTGGTAGACCTTTGCAATTCTTACATTCTGCTTCCATAGATACTTTATTTTGTATTATAAATCAAATGTTGATTTGCTAGCCTCTGCTCTGTTATTTCTGATTCTGGATATTGCTCTTTCCAGAACTGGTGCATTCATTTCAAGTATTTTCTTCTTGTTGGGCTTGATCCATAACAACAGATTATTATTTCTTTGTATTCTATCTCAGTATGTTGGTGATAGGTAAACATCTTTCCTTCTAATAGTCCTGCAGCAGCTGGCCCTAGTTGCTTAGTCAACAGCCTTGAGTTCTGTAACCTATCCAAATGTTCAGGAACTCAAACACCTAGTGCAGTCCTTGTTGACCTAAGTGATAACTGGAGCTAGTATGAGTTTCTGTAAATTACATCTCACAATATTATTTATGGGAGAGACACTCTTTGTCTGACAAGAGACCTGTCCAGAATAGCTGAACCTCTGGCATAGCTTTCATCTTCATCAGTGCACACAAGCCCCACAACCATGCCAAGTTTTATTATTATTATTATCATCAACATGGAAAGGCCAAAGAGATTGGCTAGAACTCTAAATCATGCATGGGCAATCCTGCAGCTATGGGAAGCCATCTGTGCAGCCATCTGTGCCAGCACTATGGGTGTACAAATCACTAAAATTGTGCATAGTAGGATAATCTGCAGGGATAGCTATTCCATAGAGTATCTTCCCTGTGAATCATGTGCTAGCCAAACTGTTACCTGGCAAGCTTGCGGATCAGGATTTACATCGTAATAACAGCATAATCAATCCTTCCAGAAAGAGAATGGTGTAGAAGAGGTGAAAATGAGTAGGCACTTAAGAAAAAATAGTGGGAATTAAGCAGCAGTCAGTTTAGACTGGGAAAAAAAATTATTTTCATATCCATAAAACTGTACTCGGCATCATTATCTGAAGACACATCCCAGAGGGGGGGAAATGCATTTACTTCCTTTGTCAAAGCCTTTGAATAAAAGTGCAAAGGATGATATATGAAGATTTGCTACTATTTGTTAAAGTGAAAACATTTAAATTAATATAGCTTGCATAATACTTTAAGATTGAATAAATTGGCTACCCTGATTTTTCTTAATTGCAAAGTATAAATAATTTGCTTCTCTGACTATGATGTGCTCACAGACCCACTAAATCATTCTAAAAAAAAGCCTTCTCTCAAATCCTTCTTAAAATATTAAATTAGTTAGTTACCTTTCAAAGTTTCCATTAAGTTTTTGGCCACAAACCAACAGATGGCTTCAAAGAAAGGAAATTTAAAAAGATCTGGAGTTTTTAGTCTTTTCTCCATTTCATAACACCTAAATAAAAAGAAGGATTATTTTATATAAATATGCAATCACTTCAATTTGTTCATGATGTGTAGCAAAATAAAATATTCCCTAACAACAAAAATTCATTAAAATACCTAGTGGAGTGTAGTAAAGCCTACTTGACAAGTTTTTCATAAATTCTAGGATTAAGACTTCCATCCACTGCATTCAGATATATGAATATGTTTTTATAAATTCCATGAATTCAACCATTAAGGGACAGATGTTTATTATTAGAAGTAGTTCTTGCCTGTTGACCAATGATTTAATGACTGTTCACAGTCACAATAGCCCCGGAAGTGCTTTACTGCCCATAAAGCATTTCTAGACAATGTAGAACATTATGCCGCCTCCCACAATCACAAGATTATTTGTGGTGTTTGGAAACCTGTTCACATTTATGACTTATTGACTACTGCTTTGAAATCATAGGATCATCATATGCTATCTTCTCTGCCGGCTTTCCCAGAAAGTCAACGGGGATGTTGGCAGGGAAGATTGCAAGTAAAGTGGACATTCCACTCCATTTTCCCAGTAGAGGATTTCCCTTCTTATCCATGTAGGGAGGGAAATCATCCCGCATGGAGGAATGGATCAGAATGCTGGCATTTGCTAATATTTTCCCGACCCCTCTAGAAGTATTCTGAAATGGTTCATAGGAGAGTCGAAAACACTAGCAAACACCAGTGTTCTCATAATTATTCCTCCTGGGGAGGAGGGAGCAGAAAGAGGGCCTGAGTCCTTCCAAGGACTTGGCTTAGAAGTCCAAGTCCTCTCTCTGCCCCATGATGCCCAGGAGGTCCAGGCCCTCTCCCCAATAGCCAGTTTAACAACTGGAAGGATTTGGATTGTGGTTGTTGGGTGAAGTGATCATGTGACATATCACGTAAGGACCACTTCACTCAACAACCAAGGTTCTAGGGCCAATTTTAGTCATACGTGAAGGACTATCCTTAGTCATAAGTGGAGAACTATCAATAACTTAAATAATTTTTTCAGTAATTCTAGTTTATTGTTTATTATTATTTAGTTATATGAGAACATGACAGAAAAGATGTAATATACACATAGGTCACGTAATTATATATAAATTTCTATAGGGGTATGGTATTTGCCTCCTAACTGGATGTCCAATTCAGGTGATTGCCTCTGGCATTGCTTTGTGCAGGTCTTGTAGAGAACCAGAGAATGCATGTCATGGGCAATCTGCCCAATATGTTTAATAGTTCACATATCAGCACCACAATCACAACAAGAGGAATCTTTCCATCCCTATTGATACTGGGCAGAGGCACTTCTTCCAGTATCCCACCTAATTCTATTCAATTTCGACCTGACAGAGCGAGCAGGTCAAAACTAGCTGTTTTAGTAGAGGGATGACTAATCATCAGGCCACAAGAAGATAGCGATAGCAATAGCAATAGCAATAGCAATAGCAGTAGACTTATATACCGCTTCATAGGCCTTTCAGGCCTCTCTAAGCAGTTTACAGAGAGTCAGCATATTGCCCCCAACAATCTGGGTCCTCATTTTACCCACCTCGGAAGGATGGAAGGCTGAGTCAACCCTGAGCCGGTGAGATTTGAACCGCTGACCTGCTGATCTAGCAGTAGCCTGCAGTGCTGCATTTAACCACTGCGCCACCTTGGCTCTTGACCTTGGACCATTCCTCTCTCCAGACATTTTCAGGCTTAAGCTGGTTAGATGTTAAATGAATAGCTGTTTTCCATGCTCGGCTATGGGATTTCAATCTTGTGATGGGCTGTGCACTGCCCTGGTGAATAGGGAGGGCCTTGTTGTTCAGCATCCTTGACCATAGCCGAATGAGAGCTTGGGGAGGTATGATATTGCTAAGTATTGGTAATGAACGCACAGGAGTGGGATGCAATGTACCAGAGATAATATGCATTGTCTTGTGGAGTTGGACATCAATTATTTGGGTGTGGGCACTGTTAAGCCACATGTTGGCATCATATTTAATTGTGGAATAAATCAAAGCCAAGGCTGTTGTTTGTAGGGTGTTAGCATCAGTACCCCGGGATATTCTAGCCTTCAATTAACTTTAATTAAAATATACATATTCATCTTTCATACCTGTTTAACCAATTTCTATTTTAATGTAATTCAGAACAATCCATTCATATGGAGATCATCAAATAATGATAATCCTTCTATTCTTTGCAAAATATCAGCAAAATATATTTATAAAATCAGAAAATGACTTAACCTCAATATAACAAAGGCATGTGTTTACATTTGTAGAAGCAAATAGTTGGATAAAAGAGGAAATTCCAAGTCTAACCTGAGCTGCATGCCAATATTGAGGTTGTGCAAGAAGTTTCCTCCAAAAGCCATACAGTCCTGAGAAGTGAGTACAGCATGAATCCATCCTGAAACAAAAAGTTAAGCCTATATATAAACAATATTTTGTTCCCAAAAGCACAACAGAGGCAAGTTATTTTAACAACCCACACATTGTTCAAATCAAAGTTTTACCATTGTATTACTGTTATTGGACTATCAACATATTAGTATCTTTCAGTTGTGCAGTACTGGTCAGCTGTCTCAAAAGCATAACCAAAAATCTCTAAAATCAAATCTGTTTCATCTAATGGTTAAGGCACCAGGGTAGAAAGTGGTAGACTGTGAATTCAAGTGCTGTCTTAGTCATGAAAACCAGCTGTTGACTTTGGGCCAGTCACATTCTCTTACAGACAAACCGAAAGTGACTTCTGATTTTGCTCATAGGGCCGTTTTTTGCCCTCCAGAGTCTTCAGGGAAGCCTCCTGAAAGCGCCAGAGGGCAAAAAACGGCCTTACAGAGAAACCGGAAGTCACAGTTCCTGAACTTCCAGATTGCCTGTAGGGCCGTTTTTCACCCTCCGGAGGCTTCAGCGAAGATCCTAAAGCCTCCGGAGGGCCTGGTGGGCTGCTTTTGCCCTCCCCAGGCTCCTAGAAAGCCTCTGGAGCCTGGGGAGGATGAAAAAAGCACACCAAAAGCAGAGGGGGGCGCATAGCATTATGGGTGTGGCACGCCCGCACATGATCCCCTCTGTGCTCCCCCCGCTTTTGGCACACGACCTAAAAAAGTTTAGCCATCACTGCCCTATCATATTATCAATGATTATACTAACTTGAAGAAATAATAATTCTACCTATGATATTTGAATAATTAAATCAATAAATATATTTTTGAAAAATTTTTTTCATTTATTTATGAAACTTATATACCACCTATCTCACCAAAGGTGACATTACAATAAATATAATTTCTATATACATTAATAGAGCATGGGGTAAACAAATAGCAGTGTTGAAATTCTGCCATAGGTTTGAATACACAATTATTGAAAATATGGTAGGAAATGTACAATATACAAATAGATAATTATTTAGCTATCTTCTAACTCTTTTTCAAATTCTTTACCTATCTCAGCTTCTATCTCCATCTTCTAAATTTAAACCTAATTGCTAAATTGAATTAAAAATTCTCTGAACATTAGTTACCAAGCTCCAATACATCAATATGTTAAATGACAGAGAAATAACTTTTTACCTGTTGGAACAAACAAGGTATGTCCTTGCTTCACAACACATTTATAACATTTATCAACTTTATCTCCAAAATACACTTCACTCTGGGTAACAGATGAACTCCAGGATTCATAAATTGCCAGATTATCATTAGTAGGTTTGATCAAGTAGAAAATCTTTTCACCCTATGTATAGAAGACATTTCATTACATGCTGCACATCTTTGACAATTTTGCATTACCACCATTAATATCACATAGGACTACAACATAATGAAAGTATAGAATTTTATTGCTATTTAAACGGAAATTATTGGAGTTAGAAAAATTCTCAAATCTAACCAGTTGGTTAGACAAAATCAGAAATCTATGCAATTTACATTCAATTTTTTTTAAAAATGAATATAGTACATTTGCATATTAAAGAAATTAAAGTTTTCTTACCCAAAGAACATGATACCAAACAGAAGTGCCCCCAAAATCAATATGAAAATCTGTGTAACTATCTTGAACTCCCATTAAGCAGTACTTCTGAACAAAAGGCTTAGGGAAGACCGAGTCATCTGGCCAGTAATTTTCAACCCATGAAAGTTTTCTGGCAATTTCAGGAACTTCCACTAATTCAGACATCCTTTAAAATTCAAAACAGGAAATGCAATTTGAACAAGAATATGATTAAGGACTTTCTTAATATATGCAAATATGAAAAATCTTTCCTTTCTAGTAATATTTTGATCCATACTGCTATTTAGATTGAACAGTTAACACCAAAAATAGATAATTAGTCCATTATATAACGTATTTAATTATTACACATTCTTTGAAGTGGAACTTATATGGACTATAATGAGATTTGAATGAAGAAAAAATAGAATGAAAGTTTTCATCTAAATCCAAATTTTATATATTACCTGTGTATGTGTATGTGTATGTGTATATGTATGTATATATATATGTATGTATATATGTATGTATCTCAACACAATATAATGGTTATATAGCAAAATTAATGGTCCCTTATTTCAAATTAGAACTGTTTTTCTTAGTGGTCAAAATGTTCAAGAGAGTAATGGTTAATTTAATCAAGTATTTTTGCATATTTTAAATAACTGATTCATAAAAATATGGTTATGACTATAGGTGTGTTCGTGTACGTAGTTTCAAATTGAGAAGATCAATACCTTATTGCATGATAAAAATATTTTTTCAAGCTGCTTGGATTTTAAAAAGACATATCAGGAGCCTTAATTCATAAATTAAATAATTAGAGTCATGTAACAGTATGAAATTACAGGGTAGCTTTAGTGGACTATCTTTCTAAAATATACAATATCCCACACAGGCTGATCGCTATGCAGAACTACAATATTAAATACAATGTGTTTAGCACTTAGCATTTGCTAATAGATTTGGTTGAGATACATAAATCTAGGCATCATTTTCATTTTTTTAATTAAAAAAATAAAAGGTATTTTTTTAGTAATATAACATTTTAAAAATATTTTTATTTGTCCTGCATATATTTGTCATCCCTCTCAGATAAGCCAGAGAGGAAACATAACTAGAAGAACTGAATTTTACTGAATTCTACATTAACAGAATTTTGCAAGTCTGAAAATACACTATCTCCCGCCGCCTCTTTTAACTGTTTCATCCATGAGGAAATATCTTTTCTAAATTTCTTTCTCTGACCTTTAAGCTACTGGGGGTTCCTGCCTCTCTTGTCTGATTATTTCCTAGATTGTATCTCTTCCTCATTTTCCCAAAGGTCATTCCCACAGACCATTAAACATATAAGAAAAATATATAGATAAGCCCTTTCCAAAGAAAAAGCAATTGCATTTATTCATCTTTTCAACCTAAGTTATTTAGGATAGCCCCAAGCTTTAAGTATACATAATAATCAATTATTTGCACTTATCTCCAAATTGTCATATTCTACCTTTCAACTTCATATTTCACTATTGCAACTATTCAGAAAATCTGCAATTATTGTTATATACTACAGTTTAAAATATAAGCATTTTATACATATATGAAAATTGCATACTCACTTAGTGTCCGAGAATTCAAGGCTTATCACATTTAATACTTTTGGCCTCTCGGGGTTTGTAAAATACTTAATGTAATTATGGAGCTTCATTTTGCTATCTGCTTGTCTTGCCACATCAATAACATCAATCACTTTATCACCACCTGTAAAAATGAAACATTTAAATCACTGCATAAACCAGCCAACAAAGGTCTGTAGAAATCTCAGGATTATGGGAATATAGTAATTTATGCATATGTAACTGTATCTATTTTTTCTGAAAATCCTGAAACTGTTAAAGAGAAAATATAGCTAAGTGAACCATTAATGTTTTGAGTATTCCACTCATTCAGGTTACATTAATCTCAAGACATGATATTCAAAACTTACAACTGAAACCAAAGCTTTGGAGAAATAATCTTCAAGTGTTCTCAGAAAATGTCACAACCATAAAATATTTCAGGAAAAGAATATTTAAACCCATTTATTTTCCCTTGCCCTTTTGTGTTTGAACCAGCAGTCCATACCTACATAATGTTCCACATCTAGAACAGAAAACGTAGAAAGTGGGAGCCTGAGACCTAAGCCATCTAATTTAGGTACCATAATGGGAACGTCAAACCCATGCTTTTCCAGGTATCTTTGCGTCAATTGGCTTCCATGCATTTTCAAAATGATTTCATCAGCACTAGAAAGGAAATACATGTATATTATTTTTAAAATAGAAGCAGAATTTTTAAAAAAAATTTAAAAAATTATTTTTAAAAAAATTTTTAGTTCATATTTTGAACTATAAAATTTCTGTCCTTCCCAATATTTATTATATCTGATCATTTTTAGCAAATTGCTTTAACTGATCATAATGTTAACATGTGGAACTGAAACAATTCTTTCAGAATGTCTTTAGTATTACTGGATATCTAGTTTTAACTTCCACAAATAAACACTGAAATCCTGATGAGACTCATATCCACTAGAGTAATATAGTTAAAAGCCTGAGTTCAGAATCACTATTTGAAGCAACTACATATACTTTTGAATTTTCAAATGCAATTGATCTTACCTTGGGAATGAACGGGCACGTAACTGTTTAACAAATGTTCGGGTTCCAGCTTGAACTGGTTTTGAACCATCATCATATTCTGTATAGTCATGTCTGTGCCAGTTCCTCCTCTTCTTCACTACATGGTGAAAAATGTAACCGTCAATTTAAGATAAGAGAGAATCAAATCCCATTTAGTTATGAAATTCTCTGGGAGCCTTAGTCAAAACTATTTCTCTATTAGTAAGGCATTACTCAGGGTTTTTGCTAGGATCTCATTGGAAGGGGAAAAGAATGAGGAAAGAGGAAAATGTACAATATACTACATTAATTTTTTTGGAGAATAAAGCCTTTACCATGACACATAATACAAATGTGAATTCTACTCTTTCAATATACTGTAGTCAGACGAGTCACTCTGTTATTTTCTAATTATCCCCAAGATGTTAATTTTAGCACATATAATTGCTCGAGGTCACTGAGAGAATATTTCTTGTTGAATAGGGATTTGAATTAAGCTCCCTATTTCCTCTCAGCAAATGTAAATGAATTTCAGATCTGATCCTGCCACCAGTAAATTATTATTTTAAAAAAATCTTCATCCAGAATAAAAGGAAATATTTTTAAAGATATAAGAAAAACTGTATACAGCTTCATACAAATGACTGCAGTTATATCAACATCCTAAATTGAAACGTTATAATACATTAAAAAATTGTTAAACGACAAGATTCAGTATCATGCCAAACAGAATATATTACAGATACACTTTTGATCATTTGCAGTCTGCTGTGTTGGTGCAAGATATTGGTATGGTAACATGTAACTGTAGGCTTTGAACAATTCCACCTAGATGTTTCTTGCTCACTAAAGCATCCATTATTTCTGAACCAAAAAATTCTATTGCTACAATTATGTCAATGAACAGAATTGTATTACAAAGTTTAAACTTGCCTTTCAAATGTACCAGTTAAATTTTGCTATACAAAGGAACTCTGAAAACTTAATTTTAAAATCCATATGAGCAAATTCTGCTTATCAATGTTGTGAATACAACTTTAGAGTAATTGGAACCTAGCAGTAAAGGTTTACATTTGCCTGGATATGTCTATAAAAGACTAATATTACAAGATCGTCTGCGTTGAAAACTGTTTTCAATATTTTCAAATTAAAGTTGTCCTCATAGTGTAAACCAATTTATTTAACAGCTTGCCATGGGAACTGCAGGATTTTCTGCATATCACAACAGATGGGGATGAATGCCACACTTTCAAAAACTCAAACAGTTTATATTCAATAGCAGCTGCAAAAGAAACATTTAGGCATAGCCCTGGTATCCATGTTGTATTTATCAATCTTCAGTATGCATATTTGTATGTAAACTACACATATCATTTTATCCAAATGTATACAACTGTTTCTTCAAATTCAACCACCACTTTAGATAATAACCAATGGTATTTGACAGTTTTTAGACAGGCAGATGAATTACAGAAAATGTAAGACAAAGCCTCTGAGGTAACTGATCCCAGCTAAAAATATACATTAACAGCCACAAATAATCACAGCATACAAAGTATATATTAAAAGGTAAATGATTACTTCGTAGAAGGTGCTCAATATTGACACTAAAAAGATTTGAGTGGATTTAATAAGCACCCTTTCAACATCAAACTAATAAACTAAATTACTATTGCTGCAATCTAGTAGATTTGAATACATCTGTTGCACAGATGAACATAACATACATTAATCAGCATTAAATTGTTTTTGTATTTGAATAGTGACTCAATTTGAGATTTAGATGGCAGCATGGGTGAATTATGTACATAAAATCATATTGGCTTTATCCCCATAGTAGACTCATAGTAATCCCTGATTGTTTTTGGGAAGGAAAAATACTGAAGCTGAAGCCACTTTGGCCATCAGATGAGAGTACTCATTGGAAAACACCCTAATATCAAGAAAGATTGAAGGCAAAAGGAAAAGGGGATGGCAGAGGATGAGATGGTTAGATGGTGTCATTGACACAATGAACATGAATTTGGGCAAACTTTGGGAAACAGTAGAGGACAGAGGGCTTGGAGTGCTATCGTCCATGGGATTGCAAAAAGTTGGACATGACTTAGTGATTGAACAACAAAAATACTTGTTCAGGGATTTATAAATTCTTCCTCAAAGGTATTTTAATCATTATCCACTAGTTTTGATAACTAGAATTGTTGGATTATGTCAATATGTCCCTTTCCCAATACATGAAGCAGAGCTCAATTTCAATTTTGTACAAGAATAGAGAAATGGCAATTTAAAAATAGAAGGAAGTAGTCACTACTTCAATTGTCACTGTCAGATCCCTTTTAATAAGTTCTGGACTGATGGTCATTTTATCTACAGTACTTACAGATATAGGAGACTCACTAAGATGGTCTGCCCTAAAAATTTATGAAACGTTCTGGGACATGACAGAACCATTGAAACCTCTGGGGCATGACAGAACCATTCAAATATGGAATGGTAAACTGAGATGGGCCACAGTCACTAAAGTCTAGACAGTTTCCTGAGGATTTACAAGAAATAAAACAGAGTAGGTGCAAGCAGCGGATATTTTGTGAAGATGATCAACTAAGGACCAAAGTACATTATTGTGCTTTTCATATGACAATAAAAAGAGGTAAAATTGTTCTTCATTGTCATCACTGCACTTTCATATAGCTATCCAGTGTAACTGTTTTATGTGGTTCAGGGACTTGAAATATCTGTTCTAGCAAATAAGATGTAGGAGCTCAAAGATATGTGCTAAGAGTATATTTACAAGACATCTTAACTTGATGCATTCTCAAACCTTTTTTACTTCATGTGATTGTGGGACCAAGTTTGAATTCTTGGGGACTACAGATATGGATACGATAATTGAAGCTGTGCAATTGACTACATATCTCCAAAAGTTGTGGTTGCTCCAACATTGTAGGATTTTAAGAATAGATTCGACAACTATCTTTCAGAAATGGTATAGGGTTTTCTGCTTGATCAGGGGGCTAGACTAGAAGACCTCCAAGATGCCTTTCAACTGTTATTTTGTTCTTTCTTGTAGGCCAGCTTGGTCTCTCCATATTCAATAAGCCTTCATGGTGTACTAGTTTCATTGCATCTTTTTCATTGTCCTTCAGATATTTATGCCATTTTTTAATCTTCTGGTGTACTTGCAGCATTCCACCCTCACCCCATTTTAGTTGGTAAGTAGAGTCTGACATGCCTCCATCTTTTTACAATTGACTCAGTCTGAGCAGTGAGATGGAATCAATGGGTCAGACTATCTAGAAATGACAAAATGTCCACTTCTCAAGAAACTCACTCTGGATGCTACAATTCTTAACAGTTACTAAAAAACTACTGGTTAGTCAGAATGTCTCCTTATGAAAATTATTTGAGAAAAGAATAACTGTACAATTTCAGATATTCATTAAAAACAGTTCATTTGGCCCTATTTTAAACAAGATTCAGGACCGGTGCAATTTTGATATAACTGATCATGCTAACCCTGTGAATCAGCTCACTGTATTAGGGGGACACCTAACTTCAAAGCCATAAAATATTTTTTAGGGAATAGGATCATGTTCCTGCAGCCTCATCACAACAAAGCTGTAAGTATCCACTCTGTCCCAAACATTGTTTAACAGATATATGAAAGTGCTAGAAGTGGTTATTTCAGTTTGCTAACAATATCAAACTGTATTTTCCTGAATCTTCCAAGCAGAAACTGCATAGCATGGGCCAGATGGAAATCAATGAAATGAGACTTGATTTTGCAAAGTTACATTATATTGAATATAGAGTTTCCTTGAATTTCGAAGAGTGGCTATTCTAGATAAAGTTATAAGAGAAAAGATACATAGTTTAGAGGTGCTCTTAGAGTAAATATCATTTACAGGGACACAAACCATTTCCATGTCAAAGACTACATTAAGAATTCAATGGTATCATGTCAAGTTTCAAAACAGTGGATCTCAAACTGGATGAATCAGTTTCTTCTGCCTAGAATATTTTTTCCTGTAAACTCAAAAACTGGGTGAGTGATTCCCAAATTATTTTGGGCATCAGGGAGCTACCCTTGTGAAGTCTACAATGGCAAATTTACTTTATACAGCATATAAAGATAATTTCTATAAAGATTTACAAAACAAAAATAAGAGTACCAAAATTTGATTTTGCAGTTAAGCTGTTTTACATATATTCCTTCATATTCCATACCAAGGTATTATCAAGATAAAACAGTAGGTAAAATGGAATATTTTTATGGCCAGAGCAATAAGTAGAGTGAAAGGAGAGAGAAGGAGGAGGATTGCAATTATAATTATTTTTAAAAATCATCTTCTTAAATGGCAGTATACATGGCTGTCACATCTTCAGATGGACAATGATGAAAACTAGGGCACTTTGGGGGAGGGGGTGGAGAGATTATAAAATGTGTCGTTTGTTATATTTGACAAAAATCAGACTGTGCTTTTTTTTAAAAATCTGCTTCTGAATTTCATTTGTGCATTTGAAGTAGGGGTAGTAAAAGAAAAAATGTAATTATCTTTGATTTTATCCTTCTAGTCTCTTTGCATTTAAGAGAAAGATGAACAAAGAAAAAGGAACAAAAGACAGTTCAGTTGGCTTGAATCCCAGAAGATAACCAGCTATCTGACCAAACAAGTCACTTAAGAAATAAGAAGAAAAACTCTATTTTTTATTACTTAAATATTGATAGATACTATTCAGTCTGCAAAAAAAACCTTGGCTACATTATTGTTTTGAATTGTAGACAATGACAACAGCTGCTGGATTGCAGGAGTACAACAAAGGAGGCAGCAAAATTGTTGTAAGCTTATCTGAAATAAGCTTACAACTATTTAGAAGATCATGTGGGTTTTTTTTTAAAAGAAACTTCCTTTATTTTTCTGATGTGATGCATTTCTGACTGTTTTGAACATTATGAGTGGACTGCAATATGAGCAGGAGCAACCTATGACCTTACCTGCCAGCTTCCCCATTGACTGCCTGTAGGAAGCCAGAAGGGCAAGTCACAAACCATCAGAAGCACAAGTTGGTTGCCATGCATGCAAATCACATGATCGCAGTGTTGCAGCAATGGCCATATTTTTAGTTACATGTTTTAATTATGTATTCTGCCAAGCAAATGTTGTAGATAAAGCATATTCAACATACCGTATTTTCACGACCAAAAGCCGCACCGGATTAAAAGCCGCAGTATCAATTAA